CGAACCCCAACTCTCCCACCTCCACCCCGCACTCAGGTGCTCACCCACCCGCCTGGACCCCTGCACCCCGAACCCCAACTCTCCCACCTCCACCCTGCACTCAGGTGCTCACCCACCCGCCTGGACCCCTGCACCCCGAACCCCAATTCTCCCACCTCCACCCCCCACCCAGGTGCTCACCCATCCACCTGGACCCCTGCACCCCGAACCCCAACTCTCCCACCTCCACCCCACACTCAGGTGCTCACCCACCCGCCTGGACCCCTGCACCCCGAACCCCAATTCTGCCACCTCCACCCGCACTCAGGTGCTCACCCATCCACCGCGCCTCCGCAGCCAGGTCGCCAGGGTCTTGCGCACAAACTCTCCCAAGCAGTCGACGAGGGCGTGGACCATGGCTGGCTGGGCCTGCCGCACGCAGTCCACGGCCAGCGCTGCGGCCACCGCGTACAGGGACACCACCTTGCCCCACGTGATGCCTGCAGGGAGAGAGCCGGTCAAGGCCGGGGCCTCGTCAAGGCGCTGAGCCACGCGGCTGATGGCCAGGGCGCCCAGCCAGCCGACCGCCTGCTGTGAGCCTGGCCCGCTCTCCTGCCCAGTCCCGCCCACCCAGCCGCCACCGCACGCCTGCCTGCAGGAGCCCAGGCTGCAGCCTGCGCGGCCACCGTCTGTGCTGGAGGCCACAGGCACAGCGAAAGGGGACACCGAGGAGTGGGGGTTGCCAACGCCTTGCAGCTGGCAGAGCGCACACTGCGCGGCTTCCAGGGCACACCGCCGCCAGCTCGTGTTGCCGCAGCCTGTCGCCCACGTTCCACATGTGAGGACGCCGCGGTGCCTGGAAGGAGGGCCCTCCCCGACACCTGACCTGTGCAGGGCCCGGGGGTGGGGCAGGCCGCCATGAGGGGAAGGCAGATGGACGGCGAGTTGGGGAAGAAGTTAGGGCACACGCTGTCTCCTTAACATACGGAGCTTTTCTAAGACAACGAGGAGAAACAGGAAGCTTTCAAGAGAAATACGAGCACAGAAATGAACGGCAGATTTACAAAAGAAGAGCAGTAACAGACATGTGAAAAAATGTTCACCCTCACTGGTAACCAGAAAAAGGCAAATCAGAACAAAATGCAGATTGTAATCTCTCGTGTGAAAAGCTTTTAAATGGCAACGTCGGCATTCAGGCACGCGTGGCAACACCTGCAGGCAGGGCATGCCCAGCGTCCTCGCGGGAAGTTAGCCCAAGTGGTGAGTGCAAAGATTGGGCGCTGCCTCCGGCCCCTCTCCACACGGCAGCCAGAGCAATTTCCCACAAAAACATGTCAGGCCAAACAAACACTTGTTCACAAACATTGGAAGCAGCGCTATTCGCAACCGCCAAATGCCCATCAGCAGAGGAGTGGATGAGCCACATGCCAGCACTCGGGAGGCCGAGGCAGGAGGATCGCTTCAGCCCCGGCGTTGGAGGCTGCAGTGAGCTGTGATCGCACCGCTGCACTCCAGCCTGAGCGACAAAGCAAGACCGTGCCTCCAGGAAAAAAGTTTAGTTGTATGTTGTATGAATTTCACCTCAATGACAAGAAATGGAAAACCTTGAGCTCAGACCAGGCCACTCCCCTGCCTCAAGCTCCGCCTTGGCTGCTCCCTCCCACCCACCTCCTCCAAAGGAAACCCAGTCTGAAACCCGGCTGAGCAGCCCCACAGCCACTGGCCTGTTTCCTACCACCCTGGCTTCGACGGTGCCCTCGTCGCTGCCGGAACGTGCGCACCTGGCACAGCGTGGTCCTCACCTGCTGCACCCCAAGGGCTGTTCCAGTTCCCTTCTCCAAGGCCACCCAGGCCAGCCGGGTGCCAGGGTTGAGTGGCGCGACTGACGCCCCGTGCCCAGGGAAGAGCAGGCTGTTCCGCCCCCGCTGAGCCCTGCCAGGCAGGCCTGGCCCCCAGCAGGTTGGGCTGGGGGGTTAACGTGGACGGGCTGAGCAGTCAGGGCTGCGCGCCAGGGAACCTGCTGTCCGTGTCACCTGCAGAGGGGCGTCCCGTGGAGAGAGGACAGTGTGTTCTGAGTGAACGGCCACGTTTCAGCTCCGAAGCAATGGAAGGGAAAGGAAGGAGAGCAGGCGTCCAGCGGTGCTGGCAGAGGGGCCTGCGGCAGCCTCAGAATCTCGTTTTCTTCGAGCTCTTCTGCGCTTTCTTTTTTACTGAGATGCAATCTCGTCACTATCATCTTTTAAGTGGGACGTTGTGTTTAGCATGTTTTCGAAGTTGTGCACCCGCCACCACTACCTAATTCCAGAACATTTTCATCGCCCGGAAAGAGACCCTGTACCCGTTAGCAACCACTCCCCACCCCCAGCCCCCGGTGACCACTGAGTGACGCCGTCGCCGCAGTTTCACCCACGCTGGGTGTTTCGCAGAAACGGAATCCTGCAGCACGTCCCCTTGGCGCATTCGCCAGGCTCGTTTCCAAGGCTCAGCCACGCCGTGGCCTGTGTCAGCGCTTCGCTGCTCTGCGCAGCTGAGCGGCATCCACGGCGTGGCTGTGCCACGCTTTGCTGACCCTTTCGCCAAGGCCCTCGGCCGGTACCTCTGGGCACTGTGAATGACGCGCGACGGGTGCCTGTGCGCGCTTTCTGCGCGCTTTCGTGCGGGTGTTTCGTCCCTCTGGGGCGCGCACCGGGAGAGTCGCTGGCCTGGGGGGTGACTCCGCGCCTAACCACGCGAGCAGCTGCCAGGCCACTGCCATCTTACGTCAGCGGCGCCCGAGGGCCCCGATCCCCCACGTCCTCGCTGACACTCGGGGTGGTTCCAGCCAGGACAGGCGCAGCGGTTTGACCTGCACCTCCCGGGGACGCACGACACGGACACCTCTTCACGCGCCTGTCGGTCGTTCAGACGTCTCCACGGGAGACACGTCTGTGCAGCTTCTCTGCCCATCTTTTAACTGGGTCGTCCTGTTCATGTGGACGTGTCAGGGCTCTTAACATAGTTCTTCAGCATTTCCTGATTTTTCTGTGGTAAAATACTTCGCTCTTATAATAGGAAAAAAGGAAACTATCTGGGGGAGGAAAGTGAATTTGTCCTCTGGTGGGAACTTTGAAGCCCAAAGTGAAAACGCAGCCAGAAACATCAGCTGCCTCTGCCTGGGGGGGGTGCCGGCTGTTCCTGCGGGGGCCGGAGGCTGGGAGGTCACCGCGGGGCCCTGCCCTGCAGCCCTCCGGCTGCCCACATCGCCAGCCACAGCCCAGGCCATGCCAGCGTCCCCACAGTCCGGCTGCGCCCCCAGGGGCACCGGCGGCAGGAACAGGGGGGTGAAGACCCGGAGTCCGCTGCGCAGGGCAGTCGGGCGTGGGAGGGGCCTCGGGCACAGAGGGACGGAGAGACGGCCAGGGGCTGGCCCTGCAGGCAGAGGGGTCCAGAGAGGTGAGGACAGGGGTGGACAGAGGGTGAAATGGGGACAGGCGGGCAGGAGCTAGCCTGGGGCCAGTGTGAGGGCAGAGGGGGCAGCCCTGCTCCCTCCCCCCGCAGGCGGCTCCAAGGTTCAGAGAGGTTAAGAAACCAGTTGCCTTGGGCCCAGGCCGGCCTGGCGCCCCACAGGCAGGGCCACCCCGTGTGGCACCGGGGGCCGGTGGGGGCGTGGAGGTGCCACAAGAGACACAGGGGCTTGGTGGACGAGCCCGTGGTGCTGGCTGGGGCGGGCTCTGCTCCAGTTTTCCAGCAAAAACTCAGCTCTCTACAAACGCAGATGCCGCCTGTGCTGCGTGTGCCCCCGGGGACGCCCCACCTCAGCCCGGCCCCTGCACTGGGCAGGGCCAGGCAGCAGGGGTGTCGGCCAGTCCCCACCTCCCCGTCCCTCTGCACCGCGGCAGGCCAGAGCCACGTCCTCAGAAATGACCGTTCCTCTTAAAGCCAGCGGGCGGCTCGTAAACCGGCTGGCCAGACAGCCCGGAGACAGACACCCGGCGGCCACCCACGCGCCGGCGTCCGCCAAGGGAGGCTGGAGGGTGGTCGAGGGAGGGCGGAGGGTGGTCATCAGCGTCAGCTCAGGACGTTTGCTGCTCCCGGCTTCCTTCCTGGGCCCCACCGCTCCCTCCTCCCCCAGGCGCCTGCCCAGGTCGCCCTTGGGGAGCGGCAGTGCTCCCGTCCCCACCGCCCACCCCAGCCCCCGCAAGCCCTGCCCCTGTGCTCTGGCCCCTCTGCTGGGCGGGGGCCCAGCTGGCTGACCCAGCTGTGCCACGCGTCCCAGGCAAAGCCCACACCAGGACGCCCACCCCCAGCCCCACCAGGCTGGCACTTGGGGCCCTCTGAAGCCCACCTTAACGACAGGGATTGGTTCACGACCTCCCAAAGGAACGTGGGAGCAGTGACAGACTCCAGGCTCCGGGGCCACCCTGAGGAGCACTGGACAGGGAGTCCTGCCACTGCACCAGCCAGGCCCCACCCCTAACCCCATGCCACGGCCAGCGGTCCCCTGCAGCCCTCAGTTGTGGTCTGGGCCAGCCTGTGCTGCAGCAACAGAACAACCTGGGACAGGACCAAACCCCACCTGGACCCCCTTCCCAGGACCCGGTGGGGGGAGCCGGCCCCCCTCGCATCTGTCCTGCCCACCAAGAGTAGGAGGAGCCTCCCTGGGAGGGGACAGGAGACGTCAGCACAGGGTCGCCCCATAAGGCTGGGACCGGCGGAGCCAGGGCCTCCTCTGACCAGGACGCAGTGGCCCCTCACCCTCGGCCTCTTTTCGTCATCTCTCGGGTGGGCAGAGGTCATTAGGCCTCAGGAAGGCCCCTGGCCCTGAGGGGCCCTCTCTGCTGGGGGTGCATCTTCGCCCTGCAGGGACTGTGGCTTCCCCACGGCACCCTCGGCCCTAAAGCCCGGCTTCTGCCGTCGGGACCGTCCTACCGAGGAGGAAACTGAGACCGGGGAGGGGAGGGCCAAGGTCACACGACGACAGACCCAGGCCAGCTCACACACGGGGGACCTCCACGCCTGCAGCGCGGGGTCTCCCAGAAAGCCCCAGGGGAACATGGCCCTCCCTGCTCCGAGCTCCCAGGCCTCCTGTCATCCCGGGGTCCCCCAGTGCAGAGCGGCACCTAGTGCCGGACAGTACTTAGGAGCACTCTGCCTAGAACCCGCGCCTCGTGCTCAGACTCACCCCTGGCCCACGCCGGAATTCGGCAGAGTGACCTGTGACTTCCGAGGGTACATCATAAGAGCCCGGCTGCGCCCACCTGGACTGTTGGGATGCTGCCGCCCGGGACCCAGCACCCCTGGGAGAATCCTGAGACCCGCGCAGGGTCGCGTGCAGGAACCGACAGCCAGCGCTGGCCGCCCTGGGTCACGCACGGCAGCCCCAGCCAATGCCAGACCACAGCTGCTGGAGACGCCGGCGCCAGCTGCCCGACACCCTCCGGCCCTCAGGACCACAGGAGGCACCGACGGCGCTGAGTCTGCGTGTTCCAGGCCGGGCCGTCACGCGGCGGGACACCCAGCAGCAAGAAGGCGTTCGTGAGCCTCCAGACTGGCAGGCCCGTCTCTTGGGGCCCCCGTGAGCCTGCCCCGATCTACAGACCCCGAGCCCCTCCGTGAGGTCCCGTGGGGTGGACGGGCCAGGCCTACCTGCAGAGAAGATGTGGCCTGCCACGGCCAGGAACGCATCAGTCACCACGGGCTCGGACTGCAGGGAGATGTGCAGCTGCCGCGCCACGTTGCGGTACACGCTGGGCCGGATCAGCTCCAGCTCATCCCCTGCGCGGTCACATGAGCAGGTCAGAGCAGCCACGGCTCAGCCCCTGTGGACACGGCTGGCTGCGGAACCCACCCGACCTCACTTGACCCCCCAACCTCAGCCCCTGGGGACAAGGAAACCAGGGAGGTGCCGAGGGCACCCCCAGTCCTGCCCCTGTGCTGCTGCCCCTCCAACGAGCCCCCCCAGGGCCGAGCCGGCCGAGCCGGTGGGGCAGGAATCTGGGTGCAGCAGGAATCTGGGTGCAGCGTGGGCCGTGCCTGCTCGATGACTCACGGCAGACGGGCGGCCGGGCTGCCAGGCAGCAGGAGGGGCCGGCAGGCAGCCAGAGCCCAGCCTGGGGAGGGGCTGAGCGGGGGACCTCACACAGGCAGCCCCCAAGAGCCATCCTGGCTCAGGTCCCAGCATCACTCGGGGGTGGCACAGGTGAACTGACTGGCACAGGCTGAGCCACTGTCCTGGGCCACCAGCACCGCCCACGCCCCACCTGGGCTCCTGGTGCCACGCGGGTGTGTTGGGATGTGGCAGCCGCGGAAATGCCCCCCCCACAGGCCCGCCTGCCTCACGTACTGGCGGCAGGGCCCGTGGCTGCGGTGTGCAGGCACTGGGCAGACAGTGCCGGGAACTCCACCTGGCCCTCAGATTGGGCGTCCCCAGCCGGCCAGCTCTGCAGCCAACGCACAGGGAGGTGCTGCCGACCGGAGAGGCCAGCGACGAGGGCGCTGGTGTCACCATGAGGCCAGCTGCTCTCCGTCTAATTCATAAAGATCTGGAACCGGAGCAGACCGAGGAGAGGCCGGGGCCGGGGGCAGGCGCGGAAATTCCCAGGGCTTCTGCCTGTTCCCACAAAGACCTCAGGGCCACTGTGGGGACACAACCTGGGCTTCTTCCTGTTTGCGGCTGCCTGGGGGCTGGGGGCAGGCCAGGGGCCAGGGAGACAGCGCCCGTGGGGGCTCAGCCTGAGCAGCTGCGAGGGCAGAACGCAGCAGACAGACGTGAACCAGACGCCTCGGGGTCGGAGCCGCCTCCCTCTGGGGCCCCCTGAGCCATCTGGAGCTTCCTCTGGCCATCCCAGGGGTTTGGGGGATCTCAAGAGGCCAAGGAATCATCTTCTCCAGAGGCCCCTGGAACGTACCGCTGGGTCGTCCTGGAAGGGACGGCCACGGGGCAGCCGGCCTCGCGGAGTCCTCTCGTCAGACCAGGCTCTCTGGACACCTGGCCGACCCCCGGACCCCGGGAACCCCGCCTTTCTCCACACCTAGGAGCCTCTCCCTCCTTCCCTTCTCAGACAGTGCTCCCCACCTCCTGGAGGCCATCCCTGCCCCCACCCTACTCCTGGGCAGGCCAGGGCAGTCAGCCCTGCTCCTTGGGACCAGCAAAAACAAGACAAACGCACACCGGTGTCAGCTGGAGAAGAGGGGTGACGTCCCCCCTTACGGGGTACTCCAAACGCCCCGACTCCCCCACAGCCTGCCTGGAGAGCTGCCCATTCAGGGTGTCACCTCTGCTGTCACCTCCCCTTCCTGGGCACGGCCACAGGCTCCGTGTGCCCACTCTGGGCGCCCAGTAAACACTCATGGATGAGTGGCCTCCGCTGGCCGTGGCGGGGGCTGGCAAAGTCTCCCTCTCTGGGGCCGAGACCCTGGGGAGGGGGAGGCAGTCACTGGGCTGCGTGTGACCCCAGAAACAAGCACCCCCAGATGTCTTCACGGACCCGCCTCGCAGCTCTGGCTGCCCACCCAGTGGTGGGCGAGATTCCCACGGGGCCGGAAGGAAAGTGCAGCAGGTGGCAGGAACCCGGCCTGTAACTGCAAGGACCTACTTTCCAAAACAAACATGGCACACGTGGTCTGACAAAGGATTTTTGCGCTCAGCTGAGTACAAGGGTCACTCTGGAAATTTAGCCACTAAATCATTCTTTCTGGAGCTTTCTATTGTTTATGGCAAGAATGTCTGAGATCTGGGCTGAGCAGCCAAAAGGGGTGGGGGTGGGGAGCCAGCGAGTGGGGAAGCCCAGAGGCCAGACGGGGCGCCGACCAGGCCGGGCCTCCCAGGCAGATTCTGGCAGCCAGGGCCGGCCCCCTCGCCGCCCCGGGGAGGCCAAGGTCCCGCAGAGGAGGGCGCTGGCCGGGCCTTCTGGCCGGCGCAGCTGCACCCCGAGACGCGGCAGGCCCGGCCACCGCCCGCCCGGAACGGCGGCCTGGGGACCACACTCACCCAGGCGCAGCAGCACCGCGGACACCTCCGCCAGGCGGCCTCCCGGGACGAGCGCGGCGCGCTCGGGCACGCTCCAGGCGAGGCCGGCGCGCAGCAGCCGCGCGTGCACGAACTCCCTGCCCAGCGCCTTGGCCTGGGCCACCAGCTCCTTGTCGGTGGGCGAGCGGTCAAAGGCGTCCATGATCTCGGCGGCGAGGACCGAGGAGCGCCGCAGCACCTCCATGGCGGGGACGCGGTCGAGGGGCGCCGCACCTGCGGGCAGACGGCGCTCAGCTCGGGGGGCGGCGGGGCGCGGGGGCGGCGGGGAACGGCCGGGCGCGGGGAGCCGCCGCCCCACCGCGTGCGCCCGGACCGCGCGCCCGGCCGGGGCGCACTGGGAGGCCGGGCTGGGCGTGGCCCTCGGGAAGGGCCGCAGCCAGCTGGGGTAACCTCCCGCTTCGGGACCCCGAATCTTTAAAAGCAGTGTCCCATTCTTTCAGATTCCGACTAAATCACAAGGTCCCCGCGCTGCTGGGTGCCAGGGGTCGGAGGCGCCGCGGGGACGGCGACCTGCTCGGGCCGGGCGACTCGGAGGGGAGGCGGCGGCGCGCGGGCACAGCCAGCCTCCGGCGACAGGCGACGGCCGGGACCCCCGCCGGGCGCGCTCCGAGCTGGGCCGCGGCTCCCGGGCTGGGCCCACCCCCTCCGCACCCGCGGCCGCGGGCGTTTGTCCCCGACCTCGCGCCCCGCGGGGAGGCGTCCCGGGGACCGGCGCGCTCACCTCTCCCGCCGCATGGCGCGGGCGCGGGCGCGGGGCTCTGGCCTCAGGACCCGCTCGCCGCCGTCCCCGCCGATCTCGACCCTTCCGTGCGCCGCGGCGAGGACGCGCCCGCCCGGCCCCCGCCCCGGCGCGAGGTCGCGGCTCCCGGCGCTCGCGGGGCCAGAAGCCGGAGAGCGCCGAGCGCGCCCGGCCGGGGAGGCGAGGCCCGGGCTTGGCCTTCTAAGGAGAGGCGACCCCGGGGCGGAGCCGCGGCCCGGCCTAAGGAGGAGCCAGCGCGTTCCCGGCTGCGCGGGGGAGGCGCCCGAACCCGAACCCGAACCCGAACCCGCTGGCCGAGCGATTAGACCGAGCACCAGCCGCCCGGGTTCCCGCCCGGCTGCGTTTTAAAATCGGGTTGTCTGATTTTTTTTGCTGATTTTCCCGAGTTCTGTATAGATTCTGGTTATCAGCCCTTTTCGGACGTGCAGCA